ATAAAATTTCTAATATTCATCGATTAATTTATTTTCTTTTTCAGAAGTCGATGGTTGATTATTTTTATAATTATTATTTTTATATTATTAATTATCGCAAGCATAGTTCTACTTGTATTGGCTTGTATAAGTATGTGAATTAGACTTCATTTATGATGATTTCTATTAACAACATAATTTAATCGTATTTTGTTTTCTTACAGAACCTTGTTTATTCATTAAATGTCATTCAAAAGCTTCTCGATGTATCAATCGACGGCCATTTAAAACACAATGCATTTGCGGTGAAGATACAGCTGGTAATGGACGAACAGTTTGTGATGGTAATTAAACGAGATTTTTGCAGTAGATGAACCACTTTCCGTCAGAAAAAGAAATACTGTTTGTAATAAACAGCGTGTAACTCAAGTTTCTGGTATTCTGTTTTGATTTCTGAATTAGACTAAATATTTTTTCGAACGATTTCTGTTATTATATAGTTACAATCGTGAGAGAAAACATCAATTCTGTTGATTATGTTGGCTCTATCCATTAACTTCTTAGATTTCGATCTATATTTCATATAACCCCATGGAGTCAGTTGTTTCTCTTTAGTCATATGTTGAAGAGAATACTTATTTTCAGTTCGTACTTCCAGTGGCGGATCTAGGATTTAAGAAGGGGGGGGGGGATTTTTTGTTTTTTTAGTATGGAGGGGCGATACCTGAGGAGGGGGTGGGGGGGGGGGCGATTTTGATTAAAAGCTATTTTTTGAGCCCAACCGAAGTAGTGTAAACCTATTTTTTCGTTCATTTTTGCTGTAAAAAATCAAAAAAAAATTCGGAAGGGGGGACGATCGCTCCCCCCTAAATCCGCCACTGCGTACTTCAAAAGAAAATACGTTGATTAATAGTAGAAGTTGATTATTAAATATATTTCTTGTTTATTGAAGAATGTGGTATAAAATATGATCTACCCAATGCTCGTATTATTGGTGGAGCAGATGTAGTTAAAGACAGTTGGCCATTTTCTGTTCTTATTCGTCAAAAATATCAGAATGTTGTATTATTAGATGGAAATCCATTCTTAGTAAATTAATAGTTGTATTTTTAAAATATGTATTTATTATTTTTTCCTTATAAAAGGTTTCACCATCGTGGATATGTGGAGGAACATTAATAAACCATAAGACCATTTTAACTGCGGTTTGATTTCCTTTATGATTTAAAAGAAAAATAATATATGAAATTATTTCAGGGTCATTGTTTAAAAACTGCAGGTGATAGGTAAATGAATGATTCAGTTGTAAGATTTTCATGTTTTTTTTTCTTATTATAGATTCGAATATGGATCATTTGAATTTCCAATTGTTTGGAATACATTTTATCCTAATATTGAAAGTGTTAGTGAATTATTTCAATAGTATATCATATAGTAAATATTTTTATTTAGACAGTAGAAGTAACTATTGGTTTATACGATCGACGAAAACTAATGGATGGACATAATGTTAAAGTTCTTAAAGTTATACGAGTAAAATAAAGATAATAAATTTTATAAAAGAAAAAAAGAGATTCTTCTTTATTCTTAGCATCCGTTATATGATTATAGAAATTTACATAATGATATAGCTATTATTAAACTTGATGATTATCTTCGACCATCAAAAACTGTTCAATTTGCTTGTTTAACAAATT